TCCCTGCCCTGCACCCCCAGTTCCACGTGGCCTCCCCAGCGCCACGTTCCCGGGCAGCAGCCCATCTTCCCACGGCCTCCCCACGACATTCCCGGGAAGCGTCCCGGCTCCCACGTGTCCTCCCTGCCACAGCATTCCTGGGAAGCAGCTCCGGCTCCATCTGGCCTCCCTGCCACGGCATTCCTGGGCAGGTGCAGCGCGGAGCCTCCGGAATGTGCCGAGGCAGCGGAGCGAAGCCCTTGGGATGCGGGTCAGCAATTCCCGGCAGCAGGAGATGCTGAGCAGGGAGGGGGACGACTGCAGTGTCCCCGTGTCCCTGTACTCCCGTGTCCCTGTTTCTCCGTGTTCCTGTGTCCCTGTGCCCCTGCATCCCCGTGTCCTCGTGTCCCTGTTTCTCCATGTTCCTGTTCCCTGCGCCCCTGTGTCCTCCTGTCCCTGTGTTTCCATGCCCTCAGGTCCCTGCATTCCCACGTCCCTGCATTCCCATGTCCCTGCATTCCTGCCTCCCTGCATTCCCATGTCCCTGCATTCCCACATCCCTGCATTCCCACATCCCTGCATTCCCATGTGCCTGCATTCCCACATCCCCGCATTCCCATGTTCCTGCATTCCCACATGTTCCCATGTCCCCCTGCCCCAGCATTCCACGTCCTTACGTCCCCGTGTCCCTGCACCCCCATGTCCCACATCCCTGTGCCCCTGCATTCCCAGGTCCCCACAGCTGGCATCACTGGCCTGCAGCTGCTGCCACACCTGGACCCACACCCACACCTGGACCCACACCCACATCTGGACCCACACCCGCATCTGGACCCACACCTGGACCCACACCCACATCTGGACCCACACCCACACCTGGACCCACACCCACATCTGGACCCACACCCACACCTGGACCCACACCCACATCTGGACCCACACCCACACCTGGACCCACACCCGCATCTGGGTCCACAGCCACAACTGCACCTCTGTCCACCACATCTGCACCCATGGCAACATCTGGATCCAGGGCCACAGCTGTCGCTGTGCCCACCCCGGGGTCTGCAGCCACATCTGCATCCACAAACCGCATCTGCATCCCTGCCCGCATCTGGATCCATGCCCAAAACTGCAGCTGTGTCCACATCTGCATCAACCATGTCTGCAGCCACAGCCACATCTGGATCCATGAATCCCATCTGGATCCATGAATCCCATCTCTATCTATGCCCACATCTGCACCAGCGCCAACATCTGAATGGGAGCACCAGCCCCTGAATTTTGGCTCAGCGGGACCGTGACAGTCGGGGGGAGGAGACATCTGGTATCCACCTTGGAATTGTGAATCACGGAAAAATTACCCAAAATGGGCCCTGAGCTCCGGAGCTGCAATCAGGGAAATCACAGGAGTTCCAGGGAATTTTAATATCCGGAGATGGTAACGGGAACAGGTTCAAACGGGGGGGATCCATCCAGAATCCAACCCCACATCCATCCAGAATCCAACCTCACGTCCATCCAGAATCCAACCTCACATCCATCCAGAATCCAACCCCACGTCCATCCTGCACTCACCCAGGGCACTCTCAGCATCCCTCGGGATCCCCTGGGATCTCCTGGGATCCCCTGGGATCTCTCGGTGTCACCTGGGATCTGCTGGTGACACCTTGGATCTCCCAAACCCCACAGGACACTCCTGGTATCCCTGGGAGCTCTCGGTATCCCCAGATCTCTGGGTACAGCTCACCCACCGGTCCCTCAGAGCTGCCGGATCCCCCGGATCCCCCGGATCCCTCAGATCCCCCGGATCCCTCAGATCCCCCGGATCCCCCGGCGCCCGGCTGCGGCCGTACCTCCCTCTGCAGCACGAGCTCCTTGGTGAAGAGCGTGGCCTCCTCGCTGAAGGGCTCCCCCTCCTGCGCCAGCCCCGGCACGTTCCGGGCGCCCCGCGGGCACTCGATCCCTGC